ATTTAGACTATGAGTCAACCTCTTTTCTTTTTTGAGACAGAATCTCACTCTTGTCATCCAGGCTGGAGTGCAGTGGCGCGATCTCAGCTCACTGCAACCTCCGCCTTCCGGGTTCAAGCAGTTTCTGGCTCAGGCTCCTGATTAGCTGGGATTGTAAGTGCACACCACTATACCCTAGTTTTTGTATTTTTAGTAAAGACGGGGTTTTCTCCATGTTGGCCAGGCTGGTCTCGAACTCCCGGACCTCAGGTGATCTGCCCGCCTGGGCCTCCCAAAGTGCTGGGATTACAGGCATGCGCCAACACACCCGACCTGACATCAGCCTATTTTTAAGTGAAAGTTTCCCAACAGTGAAAGTTGCCAGCTTTCCCTGGAGAACCAACTGGAGATAAGGTTCTCATATTGTTTTGTAATCTGATTTCTAAAAACGTAACATTGGCTGGGCGCCGTGGCTCACACCTGTAATCCCATCACTTTCGGAGGCTAGGTGGGTGGATCATGAGGTCAAGAACATCCAGGCCCAACATGATGAAACCCTATCTCTACTAAAAATACAAAAAAAACCCAAAAAAATTAGCCAGGCGTGGTGGCACCCACCTATAGTCCCAGCTACTCAGGTGCTGAGGCAGGAGAATTGCTGGAACTCAGGAGGCAGAGGTTGTAGTGGGGCTGAGATGGTGCCACTGCATGCCAGCCTGGCAACAGAGACGCCGTGTCTTCAAAAAAAAAGTGACACTACACGGTGGAGTCTCCTTGTGTCAGTAAATAAAGCCCTAAGTGATTGCTCTCAGTGCCAGCCTGGTGGCCCTCATCTGGAAGTCATGGTCAGCGTCACGTGGCTCTTGTAGAAAACACACTTCCTGTGTCCTCGACTTTGCTTTGGACCTTGATGCTTCTTGCGTGGAATCTGGAGGGCAGCCCGGGTGGCGGCTGGAATGTTCCAGCTCCTCCCCTTGCCTCTGCTTCCCCACACTTTAGCATCCTTGTGCTGTGAGCTGGACGTGACGCCTGCTCATGTACCTGTTTTAGGAGGGCCGAGTGGGTCACAGGCACCCAAGGGCTTAGCCAAGTGGGCCTGAGGAGGGGCGGTAGCTGTTGGGGGCAAGGCTGGCTTTTCTCAAGTGTGGCGGCTTTGGCCAGCTCCGCCCTGTCAGCCACGGCAGGAGCCTCAGGCCTTCTCCCTCATCAGCTTGCAGCTGGGCTCCACTCAAAGGCACCCCAGCCAGTGGGAGGCTGCCACTGTATGCCCAGAGCGGGCGTCTCCTGGGTGGGTGTGTTTTGTTAAAGGGACTTGAGAGTGGGCATTTCGTCTCTTCTGTTGCCTGTGCGTCTGGGGCTCTCAGACCCATCCCACGTGGGATGGTCTCAGCCCTGCAGGGGTGGGGTGGCTTTTCCTGCCGTGATGGGGGCCTGCTCTGTGACTTGCTTGTTTCCTCGCTGCAGCAGAGAACGTCCAGGATCCCCAAGCAGTTCAGGATGGCTGTGCTCATGACAGGCAGCCGACCCGGCCTCGAGGGTCAGAGCAGTCCCCAGGCCCCACCCTCACAGGCATCCCCGCCGATGAGCCTGCTTTTCCTTCTGGGTCTCAGAATCCTCTCTGCACGGCGCTGTAGGCGGGTTGGTTGTACGTGGCACCAGATGCCAGCCCCGGCTTTGAACTGCTCTCTCCTCTACCCACCTGCCGCTGACTGTGCCCGGCTCAGTGCCGCCCCTTGCAGGCCAGGAGCTCCCCCCCCGCCGCCCGGCCTCCTGGGGCTGCCCTGCGCCTGTGCGTTTTTTATGCAAGTCTGATGCTCTAAGTGGATGCTGTAAGGTCTCTGCATTCCCCGTTGGATGGTCCTTTTAATAAGGCTGGTGCTCCATAGCTCTTCTTTGGTGTTTTTGTGTCTTCAGGCACAAGCTGAGCCTGGCGCTGAGCTCGCTGGTGGCCCCAGAGGGCGCTGGTCACACGCAGGTACCTGGCAGAGCCCTTGATCAGCCATGCTTGCTGCGTGGTGTTTGAGAGCATCCCCAGGATTCCTGGATGGTAGCCTTGCCCGTCACTCTGTGCCAGTCCCTCTGTGACCCCACTCCCCACCCCCTGTGTCCCGCACCTGGCACAGCACCCAGGCCTGTGGTGGGACCCACAGCCCCATTTGCTGTTGACTGAGTGGGAGGAGGGTGTTAAGGCGTCCGTGTTAGCAGTGCGCCTCTGTCCTGAACACTGCCTGCTCCAGGCGCTGTGTCTTGCCTCTCGTTCAAGCCTCACAGAAGCTCTGTGAGCTCAATGCGATCAGCCCCAGTTTACAGAGGAAGGAACAGTCTCCAAGAGGCGCCCTGAGCAGTGTAGCAGGGAGCACATGCTGGTGGGATGAGAGTTCACACCTAGAAGAGGAGGAGAGGGGCCATGCTGGGACTGTGCAGGGCCATCCAGGGCTGTGGGGACCTCCAAGCTCCGTGCCGCGCAGGCTCTGTCGGGAGCTTCTGCAGATGACAGGCTTACAGCATTGCATGGACCTCTGTGCTCACGTAGGCAGGATTTCCCCAGGGCTGCTGAAGCCCACGCTGCTGAAGTCAGATACCACCCCAAAGCCAGGTGGGAGAGGCCCCTTCCACAGATGCCTGTGCCACTGCTTCCTCGTTGCCTCCGTGCCTGTGTCTGACTCCAGTAATCCCCAATCATGGCAGTGTGGCCCAGGCCGCAGGTCCTGACTGACCTGCAGACGGGATCTGATCTTCATTTCCCGGGCTTCCAAGCCCAGGGCACCTGTGGGTCTGGCGGTCAGTGTCAGCCCCACAGCTCTGGCCTTGCATTTGCGCCCAGGGCCCAACAGGTGGCGCCGGGGGCTCCTGAGAAAACCGGTCCGCAGGCCCAGCCCCCTGCTCTGGCACCTTGGATTCGAGAGATGGAGCAACGATTTGTTGTTGCTTTTTCCTGATGCTTTTCCTCTTTCTCATTGCCCTTTTCCCTGCCTGAGGATTACAGAGCTGCAGGGAGAAACCTGGCCCCGAGCTGTTGTGCGGCTCACCTGTCCCCCTCTTCTAGGTGGCCTGGGGTCCTCACCCGGTTCTCTGTGTGTCAGCCAGCCTGCAGGACTGGCTGGTGTCATGGCTGCTGACCTGCTGACGGTGACCTATGCTGCCTCTTTTGGTGGCCAGCACCTTCTGTCTCTGACAGACTCACCATCACACACCGCTGGGTGTTGGCTGCCATCTCTTCTTCTTCTTCTTTTTTTTTTTTTAAGAGACGGGGTCTCTGTTGCCCAGGCTGTAGTGCAATTGTGCAATCACAACTCTCTGCAGCCTTGACCTCCCAAGCTCAAGTGATTCTCCTGCTTCAGCCTCCTAAGTGCCTGGGACTACAGGTGCTTGGCACCATTCCTGGCTAATTTTTGTATTTTTAGTAGAGACGGGGTTTCGCCAATGTTTGTCTGGCTAGAATTTTTTGATTTTTTGTAAAGATGGTGTCTCCCTATGTTGCCCAGTCTAGTCTTTTTATTTTGTTTTATTTTATTTTGAGACAGAGTTTTGCTCTGTTGCCAGGCTGGAGTGCAGTAGTGTAATCTTGGGCTCACTGCAACCTCTGCCTCCCAGGTTTAAGCGAATTCCTCTGCCTCAGCCTCCCGAGTAGCTGGGACAACAGGCACACCCCACCACACCCAGCTAATTTTTGTGTTTTTAGTAGAGGTGAAGTTTCACCATGTTGGCCAGGCTGGTCTCGAACTCCTGACCTCAGGTGATCCACCTGCCTCAGGCTCCCAAATTGCTGGGATTACAGGCGTGAGCTGCCGTGCCCAACCTAGATGCTTTTGTCTTGCTTTCTGGGCCACTGCTATGTTTTTCCTCTGCCTGGAGCTCCTTGGCTGGTGCCTGGGTCTTGCATTTTCTTTTCTGTTTTTTGTTTTGTTTTGTTTTGTTATTTTGTTTTAGAGACAGGGTCTCACTGTGTTGCCCAAGCTGGTGTACAGAGGTGTGATCATAGCTCACTGCAGCCTCAGCCTTCTAGGCTTAAGTGATCCTCCTGCCTCAGCCTTCTGAGTGACTGGGGTGACAGGCATGCACTGCCATGCCCAGCTAATTTTTTTATTTTTTATAGAGATAAGGTCTCCCTATGTTGCTCAGGCTGTTCTGGAAACTCTTGGGCTCAAAGGATCTTCCTACCTCTGCCTCCCAGGTGGTGGGATTACAGGTTGCGCCACAGTACCCAGCTTGCACTGCATTTTGGCGCAGTACAACCAGTAGGATTTGTGCTGCTGGACTGCTCTGACTGAGGAGTCCCTGCTCTGACTAAGTGGTCCCTGCTCTGCCCCGGCCCCCTGGTGGCTGGTTGTAGGTTGGCGAGGAAGGCAAAATGAGGTCATGTCTGTTGAGTTCACACAGCACCTGGCACAGGTGGACACCCCGTGACAAGTGTGTACGAGTTTTCTTGCAGTGTGATGGGGGCTGGCGTGCCTTGGTGTGGGGGCATTGGAGGGTCACCACCTGCCATTTTGTCTTGCTGTTCCTGAGTGGCTGCCTCTGTGTCTGCTTCTCTCACCATTACTGCTGCCTCACTGACCTGGGAGTCACAACCCCTTAAAGATGGCCCAGGTCTGGCTGTGGGGTGTGGGCACGCTGTCCCATCTCTGTCCTGGCTGTAGGGTCTCCATCAGCCAGGAGGCATCAGATCTGCCACTCCTGCTGTGGGGTCCTTTGCTGCCCTCAGGTGCAGCAGCTTGTCCGGTGGCTCTTCCCACATCTGCAGAGCAGGCTTGGCCTCCAAGGGCCTCTGAATCTTGTGGCTGGCATGGAGTAGGTGCCCTGAGCCTGGAGAGAAACTGGTGGTGCCTGTTCTCCAGCTGTCCTACTCCTCCCCAGCTCTGGCTGCCACATACAGGGCCCTCCAGGCACATCAAGGGTGACCACCAAAGCTGAGTGTGGGGGGGACGGCAGGTGTGAGTTCCTTCCCAGGCTCCCTCTGTGGGCTCTGCTCCCTCCATTGGCCACCCATATACTCCGCTGACCACCAGTCTCTAGTTAAGCTTCCAGGCTGAGTGACTTACATCTTCCCTCTGCTCCACAAGGGCCTGACCAACATCATCCGGGACATCCCCCTGGTGCACCTGGATGAGATCGCCTTATTTAAGAGTCGAGTGGCTGAGGAACTGCCGAACCTGTGGTGGTGAGAGGCCAAGCTGCTGCCCATTGGTCTGAGTCCACCACAAGATGCTGCAGGAGCCTGGGACACCAGGGACCCTTGGTTTGTGACAAGATGAAGGGGGCCCTCTCTCCCCTCGGCTGGCACACACCCCATCTGACTCTTGGGGCTCCCAGTGTCTCCATGGCTCTCTCATGGGAACTGTTGCTCTGTGAAGTTTGGGTCAAGGGAATATGCTCTGGGTGATGTGAAAGGCTCGGGGACAGTCAATGTGGGGCCTGGCTGAACCAGGCTGAGTCTTGGGACCTGGCTGTGGCATTGGTGCACTGAGCTTCAATCTCTGTGGGCCCTGTTTATGGCTTGGAGGGCCAGAACCCTGTCCCACTGCCCTTTCGCTCTGACCGGGAAGCATGTCCCTTGGCTGTTGTGTTTGTGGTCGACCTGCTGCCTGTGCCTGGCAGATGGGCAGCCACATGCTGTCCCCCTGAAGTCTAGTTCGCCAGGCTGGTCACCTTGTGTCTGAGTATCCCCTTTTGTGGTCAAGTGCGATGTGGGGATGTGGCTGCAGACTTGGGGCTCTTCTGTCCCTTTGGGACACACTAGAACCCCCTCATGTCTCTGTGGCTTTTTCTAGCCAGATGATGTCTGTGGCCCCAGAGAGGGCCCCTGGGTTGGGACTGCTGGTTGGAGTGTCCCCCTGTGGCTTTTTGGCCCCAGGAACAGAGTTTCTCACTAGAGACGCCTCCTCCCCTCCCACCCTCCTGTGGGCCCTCAGCCTCCCTGGGAAGGTCCACGTGGCCTCCTGGGCAGATTGATGCACATTCGGCCTTGTTAGAGTAATGTGAAACATTAAAACTCAGAAAGGATTCGTAAGGCTGGAGTAGCAATACATTACCCTGTTTCAAATGACTTTAAGACCTAAAAAATATTTGGCCTGTTTGGGAGTGCTCATGCTTGTAATCCCAGCACTTTGGGAGGGCCAAGGCCGGTGAATCACGAGGTCAGGGAGTTCGAGACAAGCCTGGTCATTATGGTGAAACCCTGTTTCTACTGAAATACAAAATGAGCTGGGCATGCTGGTGGGCACCTGTAATCCCAGCTACTCAGGAGGCTGAGGCAGGAGAATTGTTTGAACTCAGGAGGCAAAGGTTGCAGTGAACTGAGATTGAGCCATTGCATGCCAGCCTGGGTGACAGGGCGAGACTCTGTCTCTCTCTATATGTATTTACACATCCACACATATTCATATATATATTCAACACATTTTGGGATGATCCCTTGAGCCCAGGAGTTTGAGACCAGCCTGGGCAACACAGGGATACCCCATCGTTTAAAAAAGAAAAAAAGAATTCAACAAAGCTATTCCAAACTGAGACACACTCCTGGCGGCAGAGGCTTCACCACATGTGTCATGCTGGGCCATCTCTGCCATCCTCCACCTCCAGGTGCTACTAAGCCATTTCTGGGCTGGTGGTTTCCAAGGGGGGCTGTGGTTGGTTCCGGCTCACTGGATCTCCACCCTGGCCACCATCATCCTCCTGGGTCTCTGTGTGACAGGTCCCTTGTCCTGTGTGGTGGTGTCTCACATTTGCCATGCTGTTAAAAAATGGGGGACACGGGAATGCTGGAAGATGGCCGCATAAGAACATCTCAGGACTTCAGCTCCCAGTGAAGTGCAGAGGGTGAGTGGACGCTGCATTTCCAGACGAATTTTTTATTGCCACAGACCAGGAGATACCAGGCAGAGGGGTCGCCAGTGCCGCAGTCATGGGCGGTGTGGCTGTTTTGGCCCCCGTGGGGCTGATTTGGCCTGCGCAGCTGCTTTGACCATGCCTGTTGCCGGCGATTCTCCAATCCAAAGCATTGGTCTGGGACCCTCTTAGCTGGCGATCAGAGCCCTGAGATGGCAGAGTTGCCCATTCATCTGAAATAGTGAGCCAGGCCAGGAGATTCCTAAGTAAAAAATCTGCCAGGAGCCTGTGCCCCTGTTTTAGCCAATTCAGTGAGTTTGCAGCACGGAGATCCCAGCACCTTTTCAAACAGCAACTGGAAACGCAGGGTCGTTCAAGCTTAAAAAATAAAAGAAAAGACTCTGAGTTGGGGAGCCAGGTGATCAGGATCGGTTGGTCTCATCTCCCCAGCCCCAACAACAAAAACAAAAACGTAATTGAAAACCTCTGGGTTAGAGCCCTTTACACCAAGCCCAGCTGAACTCGGACAGTCCAGCTCGGTGGGGGAGGGGGCGTCCGCCAATTATGAGACTCTCCACCGCTACGGGAGGCAGGCCGCCATAGACGAGGCAACCCGCCATTACTGAGGCAACCTGCCACAACAGAGAGAGTCCGCCATAACACAGGCAGGGCCACCATTGCCCAAGACAGATCGAAACTACGCCCATATAAACAGGACTGCAGGGAAGAGCACAGGGCAGCTGCGTGGGCCCACAGCCACTCAGCAAATCCTCTGTGGGCAGACAGTGACTGGTCATGCTGCTAGTTGGGCGGGGTAGACCTGAAAAAAAAAAAGTCAAAAAAGGCAGTAGCACAACGGAAACTCATAAAGCCCCAACTCCCTGGGACAGAGCACCTGGGAACAAACAGTGCTTTATGAGGTTCAGCTGCAGCAGATCTAAACATACCTGCCCAGCAGCTCTGAACGAACAACGGAGCTCACAGCTCAGGACTTAAGCCCCAGTAAAGATAGACTGTGTCCTCAAGTAGTACCCTGACGGCCCCATAGATCCAAAGACTCACCTGATAAAGGAGAGAACGGACTGACAGTTGGCGAGTCATAATTCTGGGACAAGATAGCGGAAGAGGAAACTGGTAGCAACCCTTACTGTTCTGCAGCTGTTGCCCGGTGATCCCCAGGCAATCATGGGCTGGAGAGGACCTCAGTGTGGATAAACCCACAAAAATGGGAAGAAACCAGAGCAAAAAAGGGATGAAACCTCCCAAAACCAGAACACCTCTCCTCTAAAAAGGATCACAACTCCTCACCAGCAAGGGAACCAGACCGGATGGAGAAGGAGGGTGATGAAATGACAGAATCAGACTTCAGAAGGTTGGGTAGTAAGAAACTACAGTGAGCTAAAGAACATGTTCTAATCCAACGCAAAGAAAATTAGGAACTTTGAAAAAACAATTGGACGAAATGCTAATGGAAATGGACAGCATAGAGAGGAATATAAGTGAATTGATGGAGCTGAAAAACACAACACTAGAACGTCGAGAAGCATGCACAAGCTTCAACAGCCAAATAGACCAAGCAGAAGAAAGGATATCAGAGGTCGAAGATCAACTCAATGAAATAACAAAGAGAAGGCAAGAACAGAGAAAAAGTGCAAAAAGGAATGAACAAGATCTTCAAGAAATGTGGGACTATGTGAAAAGACCATATCTACTTTGATAGGTGTACCTGAAAGTGATGAAGAGAATGAATCCAAGCTTGAAAAATACTCTTCAGGATATTATCCAGGAAAACTTCCACAACCTAGAAAGGCAGGCCAATATTCAAATCCAGGAAAATACAGAGAACACCACAAAGATATTCCTCAAGAAGAACAACTCCACGCACATAACCGTCAGATTCACCAGGGTTGCAACAAAAGAGAAAATGCTAAGGGCAGCCAGAGAGAAAGGTCAGGTTACCCACATAGGGAAGCCCATTAGACCCACAGCAGATGTCTCAAGCAGAAACTCTACAAGCCCAGAAGAGATTGGGGGCCAATATTTGACATCCTAAAGAAAAGGAACTATTCAACCCAGATTTTCCTATCTCAGCCAAACTAAGCTTCATAAGTGAAGGAAAAAATAAAATCCTTTGTCAACAAGCAAGTACTCAGAGATTTATCACCACCAAACCTGCTCTACAAGAATTCCTGAAGAGGCTTTACACATATAAAGGAAAAACCAGTACCAGCCACTCCAAAACACACCCAAATGGTAAAGAGCATCAACACAATCAAGAATCTGCATCAACTAACCAACAAACAGCCAGGTAGCATCAAAATGACAGTATCAGATTCACACATAACAATTACTATCCCTAAAATGGTCAATGGAACTACACGCCGCAATCAAAAGACACTGACTGGCAAATGGACAAAAAGCCAAAACCCGGAAGTGTGCTGTATCAAGGAAACCCATCTTACATGCGAAGAATACGCAAAGACTGCAAAGTAATTAAGGGATGGAGGAACATCTACCAAACGCAAATGGAGAACAAAAAAAAAAGCAGGAATTGCAATGTCCTCATCTCTGATAAAATAGACTTTAAAGCAACAAAGATCAAAAGAGACAAAGAAGGACATAACATAATGGTAAAAGGATCACTGTGACAAGAAGAGCTAACGATCCGAAATTTATATGCACCCCATACAGGAGCACTCAGATACATAAGGCAAGTTCTTAATGACTTACAAAGAGACTTAGACTCCCACACAATAATAGTGGGAGAATTTAACACCCCATTGTCAATATTAGACAGATCAACCAGACAGAAAATCAACAAGGATATCCAGGACCTGAATTCAGACCTGGAACAAGCAAACCTAATAGATATTTACAGAACTCTCCACCCCAAATCCACAGAATATACATTCTTCTCAGCACCACATCACACCTACTCTAAAATTGACCACATAATTGGCAATAAATCACTCCTCAGCAAATGCAAAAGAACGGAAATCATAACAAACAGTCTCTCAGACCACAATGCAATCGAATTAGAACTCAGAATGCAGAAACTAACTGAGAACCGCACAGCTTCATGGAAACTCAACAACTTGCTCTTCAATGTCGGCTGGATAAACAATGAAATGAAGGCAGAAATAAAGATGTTCTTCGAAACCAACGAGAACGAAGACACAACATACCAGAATCTCTGGGACACATTTAAAGCAGTCTCTAGAGGAAAATATATAGCAATGAGTGCCCACATGAGAAGAAAGGAGAGATCTAAAATTGACACCCCATCATCAAAATTGAAAGAGCTACAGGAGCAAGATCAAAGAAACGCAAAACCTAGCAGAAGACAGGAAATAACAAAGATCAGAGCAGAACTGAAGGAAATAGAGACCCAAAAACTCTTCAAAAAATCAATAAATCCAGGAGCTGGTTTTTCGAAAAGATCAACAAAATAGACAAACCACTAGCGAGATTAATAAAAAAGAAAAGTGAGAATAACCAAATTGATGCAATAAAAAACGATAAAGGGGATATCACCACAGATTCCACAGAAATCCAAACCATCATCAGAGATTTTTACAAACAACCCTATGCACATAAACTATTAAACCTGGAAGAAATGGACAAATTCCTGGACACCTGCATCCTCCCAACCCTAAACTTGGAAGAAGCCGAAATCCTGAATAGGCCGATAACAAGGTCTGAAGTCGAGGCAGGAATAAAGAGCCTACCACCCAAAAAAAGCCCAGGTCCAGATGGGTTCACAGCTGAATTATACCAGACATACAAAGAGGAGCTGCCACCATTCCTTCTGAAACTATTCCATACAATCCAAAAAGAAGGAATCCTTCCCAAATCATTTTATGAGACAAACATCATCCTGATACCAAAACCCGGCAGAGACTCAACAAAAAAAGAAAACTTCAGGCCAATATCCATGATGAACATAGATGCAAAAATCTTCAATAAAATGCTGGCAAGCCGATTGCAACAGCATATCAAAAAGCTCGTCCGCCATGATCAAGTAGGATTCATCCCGGGGATATAAGGCTGGTTCAACATATGCAAGTCCATAAACGTAATTCACCACATAAACAGAACCAAAGACAAAAACCACATGATTATCTCAATTGATGCAGAGAAGGCCTTTGACAAAATTCAACAGCCCTTTATGCTAAAAACCCTCAATAAACGAGGTATTGACAGAACGTGTCTCAAAACAATAAAAGCTATTTACAACAAACCAACAGCCAATATCATACTGAACGGGCAAAAACTGGAAGCATTCCCTTTGAAATCTGGCACTAGACAAGGATACCCTCTCTCACCACTCCTTATCAATACAGTACTGGAAGTTCTAGCCAGAGCTATCAGGCAAGAAAAAGAAATAAAGGATATTCAAATTGGAAAGGAGGAAATCAAATTGTCTCTATTTACAGATGACGTGATTGTATATCTAGAAGACCCCATCATCTTAGCCCAAAATCTCCTGAAACTGATAAACAACTTCAGCAAATTCTCAGGATACAAAATCAACGTGCAAAAATCACAAGCATTCCTATACACAAGTAACAGACTTAAAGAGAGCCAAATCAAGAACGAACTGCCATTCACAATTGCTACAAAGAGAATAAAATATCTAGGAATACAACTAACAAGGAACGTAAAGGACCTCTTCAAGGAGAACTACAAGCCACTGCTCAACAAAATAAGAGAGGACACAAACAGATGGAGAAACATTCCATGTTCATGGTTAGGAAGAATCAACATTGTGAAAATGGCCATACTGCCAAAGTAATTTACAAATTAAATGCCATTCCCATCAAGCTACCAATGATCTTCTTCACAGAACTGGAAAGAAACACCTTAAACTTCATATGGAACCAAAAGAGAGCCCGCATAGCCAAGTCAATTCTAAGCAAAAAGAACAAAGCGGGAGGCATCACACTACCAGACTTCAAACTATACTACAAGCCTACAGTAATCAAAACAGCATGGTACTGGTACCAAAACAGAGATATAGACCAATGGAACAGAACAGAGGCCTCAGAGGAAATATAACATATCTACAACCATCCGATCTTCGACAAACCTGACAAAAACAAGCAATGGGGAAAGGATTCCCTGTTTAATAAATGGTGTTGGGAAAACTGGCTAGCCAAGTGCAGAAAGCAGAAACAGGACCCCTTCCTGACACCTTACACCAAAATTAACTCCAGATGGATTAAAGACTTAAACTTAAGACCTAACATCATAAAAAACCCTAGAAGAAAATCTAGGCAAAACCATTCAGGACATAGGCGTAGGCAAGGACTTCATGACCAAAACACCAAAAGCAATGGCAACAAAAGCCAAAATAGACAAATGGAACCTAATCAAACTCCACAGCTTCTGCATGGCAAAAGAAACAGTCAGTAGAGTGAATCGGCAACCAACAGAATGGGAAAAAAATTTTTGCAGTCTACCCATCTGACAAGGGACTGATATCCAGAATTTACAAAGAACTAAAACAGATCTACAAGAAAAAAACAAACAAGCCCATTCAAAAATGGGTGAAGGATATGAACAGATACTTTACAAAAGAAGACATACAGGAGGCCAACAAACATATGAAAAAATGCTCATTAGAGAAACTGGTCATTAGAGAAATGCAAATCCAAACCACATTGAGATACCATTTCACACCAGTTAGAATGGTGATCATTAAAAAAATCTGGAAACAACAGATGCTGGAGAGGATGTGGAGAAATAGGAACACTTTTACACTGCTGGTGGGAATGTAAATTAATTCAACCACTGTGGAAGACAGTGTGGCGATTTCTCAAGGACCTAAAAATAGAAATCCCATTTGACCCAGCAATCCCATTACTGGGTATATATCCAAAGGATTATAAATCATTCTACTATAAGGACACGTGCACACGAATGTTCACTGCAGCACTGTTTACAATAGCAAAGACCTGGAACCAACCCAAATGCCCATCGATGATAGACTGGATAGGGAAAATGTGGTACATATACACCATGGAATATTACGCAGCCATAAAAAACGATGAGTTCACGTCCTTTGTAGGGACATGGATGAGCCTGGAAACCATCATTCTTAGCAAAGTGACACAAGAGTAGAAAATCAAACACTGCATGTTCTCACTCATAGGCGGGTGTTGAACAATGAGAACACATGGACACAGGGAGGGGAGCACTACACACTGGAGTCCATTGGGGGGAAATAGGGGAGGGACGGGGGGTGTGGAGGTTGGAAGAGATAGCATGGGGAGAAATGACAGATACAGGCGAGGGGCGGAGGGCAGAAAACCACACTGCCATGTGTGTACCTATGCAACAATCTTGCATTTTCCTCACATGTACCCCCAAACCTAAAATGCAATAAAAAAAATAATAAAAATTAAAAAAAAATAAAAATGGGGACACCATCCCCGGGCCTCCAATCACTGGCCCTGCCCTGGGCTCTGGTGGTGGGGGAGGTGGCTCCGTTCTCAGTAGCTCCTAGTTTTGGGAGCCAAGGAAGTCCAGGAGGCCTTTGGAGAACTGGGCTTAAGGCTGTGGGGAGGTCCAGCCCTCCTGTGCTGGCGGCCTCCCAGCTCTCCATCTGGCAGTCGCGACCCCACCCCGGCGCCTCTGCTCACTGGCACAGGGGGATCTGGGGTGCGAGATCTCGTTCCGCTTCACCCTGTCTTGTATTTATGGGGTCAAGCCCTCCTCTTTGAAGCCCACGGGTCCTCTCCCAGCACCGGGCTGCACCCAGTGCAGAAACTTTGCCTCCTGTCCGGAGGAACCCTTCTGGCTGATCCAGCAGTGCCCGATGTGGAACCCACACCGGACCAAGCCTTCGCCTCCCAGAGGCCCTCCTGGCCCAGCCTCTGAGAGCCACACCTCTGAGCCCTGTCCCCTGGCCTGTAGGCCAGGGGACAGGCTGCCCAGGGCTCCGGGAGGCCGGGGCTGTAGATGAGGGTCTCAAAGGTGGTGGTAACACTCCACCGCACCCCAAGCTCCTGGACATTTCTTTAGAGCTTTAAAATGGCACCTAGAGACCATAAGGTGCTGGTGATCAGATTGGCTGCTGCCTGGGCCCAACCACTTCTTACTCTCAAAACAAGGTGTGGCAGGCTGAGGGTGCGGCCCAGGAGGGAGGCAGGTGGCCTGGGAGACTCCGGGACCCTCAGGGGGCCTGTGTCTCGGCACTGCAGCTCCATGCCCTGCTCCTTTCCTCCAGAACATTCCCCTCTGGGGCCAGAGAATTGTGTTGGCACCAGGACTGCATCCTTGCGTGTGTACGATCGAGCCTGGGTGTCCTGTTCTCATGAGCAAGCGGTTTTAACCAACAGCATCATTTGGACTGGCTGACAGGGCTGGGGGAAGGTCCGTTCCTGAGGCTGGGGTGCAGTGCCTTGGAAAGCACCCCCAAAGAGTAGACCTTGTGGTTTGTGTACCCTGCAACCATTCTTTGACTTAGAGCAAGAATTTCCGCTGCCGCTACCCCCGAGATGGGCTTCACCAGATGTTAATAACGTGCTTATTTTTGCTAAGTGCTATTTTGGCACCGGTGTTAGTTGCAATTTACATTCTGCAGCATTCGATGCTGGGAAAAGAACCCACCCTAATGGTTCCAATTGGCAGAGCTGGGCTGTTAAGCGACGGACCATATGCTGCCTGCTGGAGGAGCATGGTCAGCACTTGTCCCTGTGCCTGCATGTGTGTGCCTGCGTGCATGTGTACTTGCGTGCACGTGTGCCTGCGTGCGTGTACCTGTTTGCGTGTGCCTGTTTGTGTGCCTGCATGTGTGTGCCTGGGTGCACGTGTACTTGCGTGCACGTGTGCCTGCGTGCGTGTACCTGTGTGTGCCTGTGTTTGTGTGCCTGCATGGGTGTGCCTGGGTGCATGTGCCTGCATGCTCGTGTACTTGCATGCACGTGTGCCTGTGTGTGTACCTGTTTGTGTGTGCCTGTGTTTGTGCCTGCGTGCGTGTGCCTGTGTGTGCATGCGTGTGAGTTGCATCTTCTGGGTGTGGGTGTGGGTGTGGGTGGGTGCAGGTGGGTGTGGGTGGGTAGGAGAGACTGGGGGTTGGAGGGAGGGTGGAGGGAGAGGGTATTTATCCCTTTGTTCTTAAAAAGGGAGAGCCCCGACCTCTCTGGCTGCTCCCTCCTGCCTGTGCCCCAAGCTCACCCCAGACCTAGCTGCTGTTTCTTCTCCTGACTCCCTCCCAGCCCTGTGGCCCTGTGGCCTGTGACCCGGCAGCCCTGTGGCCTGCCGCCTCCACCCTGCTGCCTGTTCCACATCACCAAGACACATAGGCCACCACAGGGCTTCCAAAGATGGCCCGGGGAAGGCACTTGAGCCTGAGGACCCAGAGGAAAGGTGCCTTTCTGGGCCTTGGGTTCTCCTCTCTGCTGTGAGAGGCTTTTCTCATTTTCAAGGGCCCATCCAGCCCAGGGGAACTGGGCGAGGGCCTCCTCCTTCTGCAGCAGAGGGGCCAGGCTCTGTCCCTGCCATCAGATGTCCCCAGAAGACACGAGCCTGAGAGACTCTTTCTCCAAGAAGGCCTCCCGGGACCTGTGTGTTCACAGGACAGGAGGACACTCACTGCTTCGACCCAGGACTGCGGCCAGGAGGGGCTGGGCTCCTCTGGTGCTGAAAAACAAGCGAGGGGTGCCCGCCACCTGGGCAGCGCCTTCCCTCAGCTACTCCCTGTGCCCGGACCCAGAGCCGCTGGACTTTTTGCCGAGGGGACTGGGGCTGGGCTCAGGCTTGGGCCCGGGGTCTCAGAGGGGTCAGGCATAGAGCAGTAGGGCTGCGACAGTGGAGGGCCGGGCCCCACTGGCTGATGAGGTTCCAGAACAGTGCCGCGGCCTCGGGGGTGCTGCAGTGCTCCTGCCAGGATGGACGGTGCCAGAGGCTTTGGTAGCGGGGGAGCCGCCTCCATTCCCCAGCAGGCAGTGCCGGGGCATCCTCCCACCTCCTCTTGCCCTGTTATCTGCTCCTTTTAGGATCTGAAAATTACAGAGCTCTTTTTTGGAAGGGAGTCTTGCTCTGTCACTGAGGCTGGAATGCAATGGCAAAATCTCGGCTCACTCACTACAACCTCCATCTCCCAGGTTCAAGCGATTCTTCTGTCTCAGCCTCCTGAGTAGCTAGCTGGGATTACAGGCACACCCCATCATACCCTGCTAATTTTTGTATTTTTGTAAAGACAGGGTTTCACCATGTTGGTCAGGCTGGTCTTGAACTCCTGACCTCAGGTGATTCGCCCGCCTTAGCCTCCCAAAGTGCTGGAATTACAGATGTGAGCCACCACACCAGGCTCGTTACAGAGCTCTTGTAAGAAAACATGAGGAATTCATGGACCAGGTGTGGTGATGAAGCGTGGGGCCACTAAACCAGAGACAGAGATGTCGGCCACCTCCTGTGGATGGGGGTTCTCAGTAGCCTTCGCCACGATCCTGGGGGTTCTTTGTGATGGTCATGAGTCTCATTAGCACTTGGGGGTGTGGGATTCGAGTTAGAAGTTTCTAGACCTACTGGGCATGATGAACACATACTCCACAGACACTGAAGAACCCAGTGGTGGCAGTGATGCAGGCTGCCTGTCATCTACTCTCTAAAGCTCCTTTGAGAAACAAGGAAGGGGCCTGGCGTGGTGGCTCACACCTTCCATCCCAGCACTTTAGGAGGCTGGGGCAGGAGAATCGATTGAGCCCAGGAGTTCGAGACCAGCTTGCGCAACATAGCAAGACTCCATCCCTACGTAAAATTAAAAAAAAAAATTAGCTGGGCTTGGTACGTGTGCCTGTGGTCCCAGCTACTCAGGAGGCTGAGGCAGGAGGATGCCTTGAGCCCAGGAGTTGGAAGTTGCAGTGAGCCAAGATCACATCATGGCACTCCAGCCTGGGCCACAGAGCAGTACCCTGTCTCAAAAGACAGAAACGCTGAAGGGGTTGGTTTATAGGCAGACCCCCGGTCAGGACACCTGGCTACTCCCGCCCCAGACCGGCAGAGCCAGGAGTGAAGGTTGGTCCTGGGAGGCTTCTCTCCATGCTGTGGCCACCAGACCTGCCTTGGGAACCCTGGTTACAGAAGCCTTGCAGAGAGTGAGCTGGAGCCTGGACCCCTGTGTTGATGATGTGTCCGGGATGGGGGTGGGGGAGTGTGCAAGGGTGTGTGTATATGCCCGGGTGGAGGTGTTCACAGGCAAGCATGTGCGTGCCTGTGCGTGTGTGTGTGCCCCTCCCCTGCAGCCATTGGTGGTATCTTCGCCCCGCTCCTTTGCCACCCTCTGCCCATTGCCCATCCATGTGAGACTGCCCAGAGACAGCAGAACTCCCTGTGTTTTTAAGGCGAGGTCTTTCCCTGGCCCCGGGGGTCTCGCCATATCTCATGACCAGGTGCTAAATGACCCTACGTGCGTTACCTGCCTTTCGATGACCAACCCTCCCCCCCCCCCCCGTCCCTGTCCCGCTGACTCGCCACGTGGCATCTCATGGTGATGCCTGCTCCCGACTTCGGTGTTCACTGTAGCAAACTGCATTCTGGATGGGAATTTTCATGTACATGTGTGGCATGTGGAAAATTTCAAATAAAATGGACTTGATTTAGAAAGCCAGGCAGCTGTGTGGTCCTTCTAGCAGAGATACTTTGACCGATTACCTACAACCCTTTCCTTGGGCCTGAGGCTGGGAGCTTTGTTCACTTCAGGTGGTGAGGGGTGGTTTGTCTGAAACAGAGGTGCGTGGATGGAGACTCAAGACCCAAAGTGGGGGAGCAGGCACTCCCCACGGGGCATGAGAAGGTGACAGCTGAGACAGTCTTGGGCTGGGGAAGCCAAAGGTGAGGGAGGAGGCTGCACAGGTCAGGATGGGCTTGACAGGGAGCAGCACAGGGGCACTGGCGTGGTCGTGCGGGCTGGTGGCAGCTCAGATTGCGAAAGTGGTGGCTGGCTGAAGGCAGGCAGGGCTGAGTCAGTGTAGGCCGTCCCTCAGGGCCTCAGCATTGTTCATTTTATTTTATTATTATTTTTTGAGATGGTGTCTCGCTCTATTGCCAGGCTGGAGTGCGGTGGTGTGATCTTGACTCACTGCAACCTCCACCTCCTGGGTCCAAGCAGTTCTCCTGCCTCAGCCTCCCGAGTAGCTGGGATTACAGGCTACCACCACCATGCCCTGCTGATTTTTAAAATATTTTTAGTAGGGACAGGGTTTTGCCATATTGGCCAGGCTGGTCTCCAACTCCTGACCTCAGGTGGTCCACCTGCCTCGGCCTCCCAAAGCGCTGGGATTACAGGGGTGAGCCACCGCGCCCAGCCCATCTTAACGGTTTTAAAGTGCATACTTTGCCAGCAGAGGGTTTTTTTAGGGGGTGGAGGGAGGAAAGTAAAGTGCATAGTTCAGGCTAGGGGCGGTGACTTATGCCTGTAATCCCAGCACTTTGGGAAATTGAGGCAGAAACATCACTGTGCCGAGTTTGAGACCTTGTCTCTACAAAAAGTACAAAAATTAGCCAGGCATGGTGATACATGCCGGTCTGTGGTCCCAGCTACTTGGGAGGCTGAGGCAGAAGGATCCTTGAACCTGGGAGGTCAGCGTTGCAGTGAGCCATGATTGCACCACTGCACTCTAGCCTGGGTGACAGAGCAAGACGCTGTCTCAAAAAAAAAAAAAAAAAAAAAAAAGAAAAATGAAGTGCACTGTTCAGTGGTGGCATTAATCACATCTCAGTGTTGTGCGGCCATCGCCACCATCTGCCTCTAGAACTTTCTCATCTTCCCCAACTGGAACTCTGTCCCCATTCAACGTTCACTCCCCATCCCCCTCCCTCTACTTCAGGCACCCACCATTGTACTTCCCGTCTCTTTGAGTTTGACTCCTGGGTGCCCCACACAAGTGTAATCTGGGCTGGGTGCAGTGGTTCATGCCTATAATCCCAGCACTTTAGGAGGCTGATATCCTTTTCTACCTTAAATGATCCGATGCCATTACAGCGGATCACCTGAGGTCAGGAGTTCGAGACCAGCCTGGCCAACATGGTGAAATGCTGAGTACAAAAATTAGCCAGGTGTGGTTGCGGGTACTTGTAGTCCCAGCTGCTTAGGAGGCTAAGGCAGGAAAATCCCTTGAACCTGGAAGGTGGAGCCTGCAGTGAGCCAATATGCGCCACTGCCCTTCAGCAGCCTGGGCAACAGCGAGACTTCACTTCAAAAAAAAAAAAAAGGTGAACCTCAGGGCATGGTGGCTCATGCCTGTAATCCCAGCACTTTGGGAGGCCGAGGTGGGTAGATAACCTGAGGTTGGGAGTTTGAGACCAGCCCGACCAACATGGAGAAATCCCGTCTCTACAAAAAATACAAAATTAGGCTGGGTGCAGTGGCTCATGCCTGTAGTCCCAGCACTTTGGGAGGCTGAGGCGGGTGGATCATGAGGTCAGGAGTTTGAGACCAGCCTGGCCAATATGGTGAAATTCTGTCTCTCTACTAAAAATACAAAAACTAGCCAGGCGTGGTCGTGAGTGCCTGTAATCCCAGCTACTTGGGAGGCTGAGGCACGAGAATCACTTGAACCCGGGAGGAGGAGGTTCCAGTGAGTCAAGATCACACCACTGCTCTCCAGCCTGGGCAACAAGAGCGAGACTGTCTCAAAAAAGAAGAAAAAAAAAAAGTGGCCGGGCGCGGTGGCTCACGCCTCTAATCCCAGCACTTTGGGAGGCCGAGGCAGGTGGATCACGAGGTCAAGAGATCGAGACCATCCTGGTCTACATGGTGAAACCCCGTCTCTACTAAAAATACAAAAAACTAGCTGGGCATGGTGGCGTGTGCCTGTAATCCCAGCTATTCAGGAGGCTGAGGCAGGAGAATTGCCTGAACCCAGGAGGCGGAGGTTGCGGTGAGCGGAGATCGCGCCATTGCACTCCAGCCTGGGTAACAAGAGCGAAACTCCGTCTCAAAATAAAAAACAACAAAAAAAAAGTGGAGTCTGCAGTGTGTGCGCCCCTGAGGCTGGTATAATTGCAGTGTCAGTTTGGGGCAGGGACCTTCTTCACCTGTCCTGGACTCTGGGGAGAGGCTCGGACCCAAGTGTGGCAGGAGGTGGGAGGAGGAAGCGGGGCCTGGATAGGGCAGGGCTGCTGCAGAACAGAGTGGCCAGGATGGGGCCCTCACATGAGCCGGGGACTTGGCATTCCCTCTTGGCTTGGTCCTTGAGGTGATGGTGTTTCCCCAATAAACGGCGTTGCAGGGCTGGGAGCCTCCTGTCCTGCCCAGTGTTTTCTGAGCCATCACCATCACCTGCAGCTTGATATGCACCCACACCCGCCCCCCGCCCCCCGCCACCATGACATGTCCTGTCTGGCTGGGGGAAAACCGGGGAGCCAGTGCTGGGGATTTGGGCAGCGGGTGGGAGCTGATCCTCTGTGCTGCTGACACCAAGGGCCGCAGCAGGGGAGAGAGGACGGGAACGCGGGAACGCGTGCTGGTGCAAGGCAGCCCAGCAGCCCTTCCTGCAGAGGCGCACTCGAGACTGTCTTTACAGCGACAGGCAAGCGGGGAGAGGAGGTACCAAGGCTGAGAAAGAGCCAGAAATATTCTGTCTTGTACATAACAAGGCGCTTCCAAGTGCAGGGTGCAGAACCGCCACTGTGAGTTGCTCATGGCTTCTCTGGGTTAGGTATTTACACAGGGGACAGCACTACGACTTGTCTGTCATACGGTGTCTGGAGCCTCCGCCTCGGTGACTCAGCAGTTGGGGACTAAAATCTTTACAGGTGTGAGTCACGGAGTCCAGCTGTAACTCACATTCTTACACACATTCTTCATACACAGTCACTCAGACATGTCCACACAGATGCCGACACACACAATCCCTACTGCTCACATACACTCTCCTATGTCTAATGACACCCACATACCACCACACTCTCACTAAATTCACACACACACATTCATACACCAAGACAAATGGACTAGATTAATTTTTTTTCTGATGGCAATTCTGGTGTTGACCTGGACCTCAGTGGGGGCCTGTGGCTGGAATACCTCCATGTGGCCTCATGCGGCCTCTCCATGGGACCTCTCCAT